AAAAGGTTCTACGTAACATTGTACTGTAGAAAAGGCTACGTAACATTGTGTACAATGTTATGTAGAACCTTTTCTACAGTTGTAGAAAAGGTTCTACATAACATTGTACTGTAAAAGGTTCTACATAACATTATACTGTAGAAAAGGTTCTACATAACATTGTACTGTACAAGGTACAGCACTATCAGAGACACCAGTAGACAAGGTACAGCACTATCAGCGACACCAGTAGACAAGATACAGCACTATCGGAGACACTAGTAGACAAGGTACAGCACTATCCGAGACACCAGTAGACAAGGTACAGCACTATCAGAGACACCATTAGACAAGGTACAGCACTATCAGAGACACAACTAGACAAGGTACAGCACTATCAGAGACACTAGTAGACAAGGTACAGCACTATCGGAGACATTAGTAGACAAGGTACAGCACTATCAGAGACACAAGTAGACAAGGTACAGCACTATTAGAGACATTAGTAGACAAGGTACAGCACTATCGGAGACACCAGTAGACAAGGTACAGCACTATTAGAGACACCAGTAGACAAGGTACAGCACTATCAGAGACACTAGTAGACAAGGTACAGCACTATCAGAGACACTAGTAGACAAGAAACAGGGCTGTTTTTTACACAACTAGTATTGTAACGTGTGATGTTACTAGATGTACCATTTTGGATTAGTGGCATTTAAACTGGAAACTAGCTAGAAAGCCATAAACGTTGTTTTAATTCTTTGTACGAATGGCAAGCGACTACATGCAGAAGTGTTCATGATACTATTTAGCCAACATTAAATTAAACGTCGGCATTGGTCGTAACCCCCTGTTTTATGTACAGTAGAGAATTAATAACCCCCTGTTTTATGTACAGTAGAGGATTAATAACCCCCTGTTTTATGTACAGTAGAGAATTAATAACCCCCTGTTTTATGTACAGTAGAAGATTGATAACCCTCTGGTTTGAAATTCCAAGGTCGAAGATGGAGTGGGATGATAAATTAATCTTCTTGTGGTTTGGTGTTCCTATACTGTTCCACTTCTCTACATGGTCGGTGGAGCGAGCGCAATTCTACTAACGCAAGCTTTCAGTAAATGAATTAGGCCTAACAATTTAGAAAAAATAAGAACATTTCAACACTTTTCGTAAAAACAAGAAGATACATTGGAATGTTCACACTATAAATCAGCATGATAATGTGTGATTAGCTCAGGCTAACTTCTCGGCAGTTTCTACTGTAAACAAACATATTACATGCTAGTTGTAACACTTCTCTGCTGTTTCGTGAACAACAAAAATAGGTCAGACATGCAGGCGTCAGCCAATCACGGCTCCAGATTCTCCAAAAAACTGGCTGTCATAATTATAGACATCATGCAGATGTGCCACTTCATGTTGGTTCTGAGTGAATTACATCCTCATACATCCTGGAAAACTCGAGTAAAATAGACATGTCATGGTTATATGAGGTTTCGCAGAAAGATAATACGGGATGTAGACAACATTCTTAGAAGACATACGTGTCAACAAGCGGAAAACAAGGAGATTGTTCAAAATTTTAAATTATTGCAAAAAACTTTATAATATATATGACGTATGTACAGTAGAGGATTAATAACCCCCTGTTTTATGTACAGTAGAGGATTAATAACCCCCTGTTTTATGTACAGTAGAGGATTAAAAGATAAATATGGAAAAATCTCTACATGACAGAACTAAAATCATAGTAGAGGATTGATAAACCCTCTGGTTTTATGTACAGTAGAGGATTGATAACCCCCTGTTTTAGTCTTCACTATGTATTTACACAATCACCTCTACAGGACAAAACTAAAACCTTCACAAGATGGAAACATTGTATTTACACAATCTCTACAGGACAGAACTAAAACCTTAGTCTTCACTAATGTTTCCATGAGTTTTTGTTAACTATAGTTTTTAATTATCTTATGACAATGTTTACTGCTTAGATTTTAACCGTCAATATCTTCAGTTACTTTTGTCAGATAGTTACTCCTGGGCCCATATGTTTTAAATAAGTCATAGTAGACTTGTTATCACTTGCGATATTCTTTCGTACTGAAACAAATATGTTATTCTTGATCATTGTTTCTTAGAAATAGAAGTTGATTTTCAATATTGAAAGTCGTAAAGAAAATAAAAACAAAGAAATTTTAGCGTTAAATGCTCTAATCTGTACGATACAGAAAATTGCACGAAGTAATAATATAGGCTACGAAATTTTGTTTGAGGACAGTACATTCTGGTAATTAAAATTATAAGTGTGTAGTTAGGCTTCGTACACAACTCTACACAGGTACTTGTATAAGCTGAAGCTTGTATCCAATTATATAATTATCAGAGAATTTACTTTATTACTCACTGGAAAAAAACCTATCAGTATATATATATATATTTATCTCGAACAGTCGTTACACAAATATTTTTATAATTTATTCGAAAAACAACAAGGTTTTCTAGTCCTTAAAGAGTCTGGACCACCCAACTGAGCGAGATATTTCTGCTCGGGGCATCTTTCAGCGAGTTTGTAATAAAGTTTATTAAGCCTCACCAGCAGGTTTCAAAGTAACAATACATATTGTGTAAGGAGATAAAAGATCCCGACATATGTGTTTATACCTGCAGCACCACGTGATAGTTGGAGCGACTTACTCTCGAGAACCACATGTTAGTTAGAAGGAGTGGACAGAAGTAAAGGTTGATTTGTAGAATGAATAAACCTAAGATGCCGCCTCATTAATTGATTGTTTTCAGTTAATCACAAAAACGTCATATTTCAGCTTCCAATTATACAACACCAACAATAATTACTAGCTAAGCATTAAGCCTGCACTTTACAATATCAACAACATTTATTTGTTCGACATTCAATCTTCACTTTACACTATATACAATAATAACTTGCCAAACATTCAGCTTGATATTTGCAATAACAATAACAACCAACTGCTGAACACAACCTACAATTTTGATGTGCCTTTAAAAAAATTACTTTCGGCTCGTGGTTATCAAATCATTCTTGATCGTCAAATATTGCCCAAATCTTTTTAATATATATACAGTTATCTGTTATACATAGAATAATTGTATAATATAACGATTCGTATGGCTGGTTATTTCGTTCAATGCAGTGACTCAAATCAAACCTCAATATTTTCAGGGTATGTTTTACGTATTATTCCGAGTTTTCGCAGCTGAAATGCTTAGTGCAGGTTCGTATATATCAAAAGGTGACCAATCATAGAGATGCTCGTAACCCACGTTATTTAATGGATGACGTAATCTGTTTCAGTAATATGTTTTTCTGGACACCTTCGTGTACATCGTAATGTGCATTACTTAAATCTTGTTATCGTTTTTACTAAGAACAGTCCACACGCACGAGGTGCACGGTCGGAACTCACGTGATCCTAATACATTCGGTATGTAGATAAATAGATAGCTTGATTCTTTGTAACAAACCGTGAGAAAAATCGTGTGTTTTTATAGAAGTGAAAAAAGAAAGAGTGGTAGTTTTGTGTTACAAGGTTCATGAACTTGGCAAAGGTTGAACTTACCATCACTTTGTGTATTATAGAGTATGTAGCATTCAAAGAACAGTCGTGTTTTTATTTCTTAAATGCAGGAGAGGGGGGGGGGGCTCCCGAGCGACTCCCTTAAAAATAATGCGGATAAATTTAATTTAATTTTTCCGTATAGTATTTTTTTTTAATGATAGAGGTAAAATAAACTAAGCCTAGAACCACAATATTTCGTTTATTATAGCAAGTTGAGATTGTCAGACCATAGAAATATTTTCACACATATTCAATCAATATTTCCATCCCCCGAGGTAAGAATGTACAATGTGTGCTTCCGTTACAATGTCTGTTAGACCAGGAAGTATCATGTGTTTTATTCAGAGTTAAATGTATCGCGTTTAAAACCCTTTTCATAATAGTTTTGTAAGTTATATTTTTTATGTTATAATTTGTGTGTTAGCTAGAGGGCGCATGGCGTTAAAAATAGGCCTAGAAAATTCTAAAATGATTTCTAGCTTTTCTTGTGAGCCCCCCCAGTGACACAGCGGTTATGTCTGCGGACTTACAACGCTAGAAACCGGGTTTCGATACCCGTGGTGGGCAGAGCACAGATAGCCCTTGTGTAGCTTTGTGCATAATTAAAAACAAACAAACAAACAAGCTTTTCTTGTACATTCGAAACGAATTCTAAATACAGGAAACTGTTTCGAGAATTGAAATATTGTCAAGGATGTAGTAAATAGCGTTATTTCAAGACAGTTATTTCTAGCTGACAGAGTGAATTAGTTAGTGTTTTTAGTGAAATAGTTTGATTTCAGTTATTTAGTACAAGTAAGATATTTTTTACGCAAGTGTAGCACAACTTGAACGTCATTTGTAATGTAGGCGTACAATAATGTACGACGGAGTACAAGTGTTCAAACTTGTAGATACGCTAAAGGATGAAATATAGTAATCTACTATCTACTAGATTCTATGTTTGTGGGAAGGTGTATTTCTAAACATCTTTAATCTAATTATATAAAACTAGAACGCTTTAAAAGTTCTTTTATTCAGCATGTTATTTAACCTAACGTGTACTCTAATTACCACCAAATTCCACTTTTTGTTATAATTGTATGGTTTTTAAAACAACAATTTGATTCATTGTTCATAGAACGCGATTCTAAATCGTCCGAATCACTGTGTTCAACCACGGAATGTAGAAAGCTCAACCAACTCCTGGCTATTCAGTCAATTGAATGTGTTTGTAACTGTTGACTTCCCTCTGAACAATTAAGATTTTCACGGTTTTTGTTCTTTATTGGCTTTAATTCTCTTGGTGATAGAGGTGTTGTGACGTTTCACTAGCTAGTGCTGTTCAATAGCCAACCGGTTTCCTCGGATGATCGGGGTAATTTCTTTAAGGTATCATATTCGGTGCGAAGACATTTTTATAGCCATCGGTTAAAAAACGCGCTGTGCAGGAAATACGTAATCTACAACGAAGCTTCAAAACGTTGTTAATCAATCCATGACGAAAGCTCTTTACGTCATAAAGGTCACGGCGCTTTGAACGCTTCGAAACAAATCTCCGTCGTTTATCAACGCACAGACAGACCTATGTGCGGACACTGGCAAAACTACAGGCTCCGAGATACACGAGAGTAAATGCAAATTCCCACGCAACAAAGTCGTGAACGTGGCTTATAGATAACTGATTGTACGACCGCCAGGTTATTCTGAACACAGATTATCTTCAAACCAGGAATCTCACGTACGACAACGTGTATGTAATCTAAATTTTGATTTACGAAATGTGTATGAAGTGCCATGACATATGAGAAGAGTGTTAATGTGGGTTTGAAGTGTTATGATATATAAGAAGTGTTAATGTGTGTTTAAAGTGTTATGATATATAAGAAGTGTTAATGTGTGTTTAAAGTGTTGTGATATATAAGAAGTGTTAATGTGTGTTTAAAGTGTTGTGATATATAAGAAGCCCACATTAATATTGATGTCATAACACTTTAAACACGCATTAACACTTTTATTATATGTGATAACACTTCAAACACATTAATATTGATGTCATAACACTTTAAACACACATTAACACTTTTGAAGTGTTATCACATATAAGAAGTGTTAATGTGTGTTTAAAGTGTTATGATATATAAGAAAAGTGTTAATGTGTGTTTGAAGTGTTATGACATCAATATTACTGTGTTTGAAGTGTTATCACACATAAGAAAAGTGTTAATGTGTGTTTAAAGTGTTATGACATCAATATTACTGTGTTTGAAGTGTTATCACATATAAGAAAAGTGTTAATGTGTGTTTAAAGTGTTATGACATCAATATTAATGTGTTTAAAGTGTTATGACATCAATATTAATGTGTTTGAAGTGTTATCACATAAAAGAAAAGTATTAATACAGAAAAAGGAAGTTTGTTGTTAGCCAATGAATCTTTAAACTTTGTATGACATGGGTGTTTTTAACACAGAGAATCTTTGAAGTACTTTTAATACACGGTTCTTAACTTTAGAAATTTATATCACAGACGTAGCCACAGAATTCGCGGTGGACACAGAAGTCATCGTTCTTATACAGTTTTATAAACAACAGAAATGTTTGTAATTGATATGAAATTCGTAATCAACGCCTTACATTTTCTTCGGTAACAGGTACGAGTATGAAATAATAAATATTTGAGGACTAACTGTCCACAATTTTGTAATAACAAGGGTAGAAAGAAGGCAGCTAGTGAACACCACCCGCCACGCCAAGTCTTGTCAGAGAGAATAGTGTGGGATTTCACCGTCAATTCATGTAACGCAACCACGGTTGGGTGAGGGAGGGGGGCGAAAGCCACGGTGTCCGGCCCATCGTATCGTGCTCAACCACGTAAGAAAGGAGTCTTGTTGCGGTAACAAGTTGACAAATAAAATATAGTTTGTTCATGTTATAGTCTATGTATCAATGTTTAACGAAAGGGTGGTCAGAAGTTTGGTATTGTTAGCTTGGCCTGGAGACCTGAAATTCATCAGAAGTTTTATATTGTTAGCTTGGCCTGGAGACCTGAAATTCATCAGAAGTTTGGTATTGTTAGCTTGGCCTGGAGACCTGAAACTCATCAGAAGTTTTATATTGTTAGCTTGGCCTGAGACCTGAAACTCATCAGAAGTTTTATATTGTTAGCTTGGCCTGGAGACCTGAAACTCATCAGTAGTTTTGTATTGTTAGCTTAGCCTGAAGACCTGAAACTCATCAGAAGTTTTATATTATTAACTTGGCCTAGAGACCTGAAACTCATCAGAAGTTTTATATTATTAGCTTGGCCTAGAGACCTGAAACTCATCAGAAGTTTTGTATTGTTAGCTTGGCCTGTAGACCTGAAATTCATAAATGCTACATATATGTGATGCATTAATTATTTTCAGTAAACCATTTGAAATAGTTTTTTATTTGTATCACTATCACTTCTTTACACATTATTTGTTATTTGTAGGTCTGTTGACAGTGAAATTCTCCAGCCACCGTCGCCCTTGGAAACCATGTCTTCTAGTTCAGGAAGCAGCTCTAGTGGTTCTGATGAATCAGACTCGGAGGAAAGTAGTGTGAGTGGCCGGTCATCTCCAGAAAAGGTCAGATTTACTTTCAACTTGTAAGATTAAAGTATCTTATTTACCTATTGAGGCTTGTCAGTATCATGGTGCCTCCCAGAAACTTGACAGTGGTATTAATTCTTTGAGTCTATCAGTAATTTTGAGTGTAATCTTACACTTCTGAATTAACAATAATTATCAGTGTAAGCTTACACTTCTGAAATTTGTCAATAATGGTCAGTTTAATCTTACACTTCTGACCATCAAAAATTATCAATGTAATTACACTGACGACTTGTTAGTAATGGTAAATATTAGCTCTCACTTCTAAGACATGTCAGTAATGTTAGTACTGGTCAGTGTATTAGTTTTCACTTTTGAGGCTCGTAACAAATAATTAGTATTTGTTTGGATATGATTGTTACATCAGGGTTTAATTTAACCTCATCAGGGTATTCAGCTGACACTCTATGTTAGGAAACTGAGAAACTGTAGTGTTATCTACCCAATCACATGAGAAACGTTTTAATAATAAAACTTAAACAATCAGTAGACACAACATAGATTGTCTGCTTCAAGAACGGTATTAGACCAATTACAAGTAGTGTTGATTGTACAAAGTTAGTGATTATAATTGCCAACTTCAGTCTTTGTTAGCGCTTCAGTCTCCGAAATGTCGTGTGACTGTTTGTTTTAGAGTAAAGCCACATTTGGACTATCTGCTTCAAGTAATTTATTCTACAGTAATATCAACTAAAGCACTCTTTAAAATCTACAGTAATATCAACTAAAGCACTCTTTAAAATCTACAGTAATATCAACTAAAGCACTCTTTAAAACTATTTATTGTATTTAAGTAAAATAGACCCTTGAAAAAGGTGTAACTCAATACAGTGATATCAACTAAAGCACTCTTTAAAACTTTATTTATTGTATTTAAGTAAAATAGACCCTTGAAAAAGGTGTAACCCAATACAGTAATATCAACTAAAGCACTCTTTGAAACTTTATTTATTGTATTTAAGTAAAATAGACCCTTGAAAAAGGTGTAACCCAATACAGTAATATCAACTAAAGCACTCTTTAAAACTTTATTTACTGTATTTAAGTCAAACAGACCCTTGAAAAAGGTGTAACCCAAAACTTTGGGTAAAATTAAAAAAACTTTTATGAGAAGTTTTTTGTTGTCTTCATTGAAAGTGGTTTCTATTCATGAATCAACATTGAAAACTTTCAAAAAAGAAAGCCAACTGTTGAAAGAGTATTTGTAATTATTCAAACAATACAAAGATGTGGAAAGCCAACTGTTGAAAGAGTATTTGTAATTATCCAAACAACACAAAGATGTAGAAAGCCAACTGTTGAAAGAGTATTTGTAATTATTCAAACAATACAAAGATGTAGAAAGCCAACTGTTGAAAGAGTATTTGTAATTATTCAAACAATACAAAGATGTCCAAACAATACAAAGATGTAGAAAGCCAACTGTTGAAAGAGTATTTGTAATTATTATAATTATAAATACTCTTTCAACAGTTGGCTTTTTACATCTTTGTATTGTTTGAATAATTACAAATACTCTTTCAACAGTTGGCTTTTTACATCTTTGTATTGTTTGAATAATTACAAATACTCTTTCAACAGTTGGCTTTTTACATCTTTGTATTGTTTGAATAATTACAAATACTCTTTCAACAGTTGGCTTTTTACATCTTTGTATTGTTTGAATAATTACAAATGCTGTTTCAACAGTTGGCTTTCCACATCTTTGTATCCCTTACTTCAAGACTTGTGTTTTGACCGATATTAGTGCCTGGTTTACTGATTTCCTTTAACCTTCATATTATTAACTTGCTTTTCTACTATTTACTACATGTCGGGTCTTTATTTTGCATAATATTGGGACATTAAATATTTTTGGCTGTTACAACACTTATTATAAAGAACTGACCACAAAAATAGGGTGAAAATACTCATTTTAAATACATATGGGGCCCCAGCGGCAACTAGTGGGATAAATTGTAATATTGACTTTTAAAAGAATTCTATTTCTTTATATGATTAATGTGTTACTAGGGGGCATGTAATAATATGGTCATGGACCTGCAAGAAATTTGGCACATAAACAATTTTGACAAATCTGTTTGAAAAGTTAATAGGGTCACCAGTAACTCTAGGGTCAAATTTGTCGACTAATGTTGCTGAATGTTGGTCATTATCATGATACATCAACTCTACTTTTTTATATTTAAATGCTGTAGTGTTTGTTTATTTGTCTTTTCAGACAGCTGTATAGAACTAAATATGAGTTATAGATTCCTAGTTAACCTCTGTTCGTGAACAAGGGTTAAAGGAAGAATTGCCAACGTTACTTTAGCAGTATCATGGTCGGTCTCTTCATATTATATGACTTTATTTCACATTAATATAGCCAAGCTGATGAGACTTGAAATTACTGAAACTGTAGTTTATGTTTGGTTATGAAATGAACATTGTTGCTTAATGTAAGGAAGCATGAGGATCAGAAGTCTGATATCCTCTGTAAAACAGGAAAATATTAAAAGACAGTTTACTTAATGAAATGGAACTTTGATCAAGTCTAGAAAAAGTGATTTTTGAAACAGTTTCTTGTGTGACATATTGTTTATATTGATATGAGCACTTAAAACAAATACTGTTTAAAATATATTTAACTGTTTTGTTGTAGTATAAATCATAGTTGTATATTAACTTTTCCACTGTCAAGGTTAAATATAAAACATTTTTCCCAGTGCTTTATTTATGTTTAGATACACAATAAGAAACAAAAATACATATGCTTTAATTAATATTTCATTAGCAACATAAACTTGTATACACCCTGGGAAGCTTGAAGGGGAATACTCTTTCTTCGTGGTGGTGGAAACTTCCAAACTAGAATGGCAGGGAAAGAATTAAGATGTTTTTTTTTTCAAGCAGCTTTACTTTTACATTAATAAAAATTCTTTGACTATTATTTCTGCACAAATGTTTTGGTTGAAAATATATAATATTAATATGTTTGATGTTAATATAGCACGGTACACAAGGATGGGGTCTTGCAAACTTCATGGAAAAAAAGGTTGTTCCTCCTGTAGCATCACTAAAACATCTTACCACACAACCTGGAAAACATATGATGTTGAACAACAGCCAGAATGTCACCATGGATCTGGCTGATGAAGACTCAGTGAACTGGATTCTTGGAAAGTACTCCAGTACTGATATTAAGGATTATTTGCAGAGGTTAGTTATTCTTGGAAAGTACTCCAGTACTGATATTAAGGATTATTTACACAGGTTAGTTATTCTTGGAAAGTACTCCAGTACCGGTATTAAGGATTATTTACAGAGGTTAGTTATTCTTGGAAAGTACACCAGTACTGATATTAAGGATTATTTACAGAGGTTAGTTATTCTTGGAAAGTACTCCAGTACTGATATTAAGGATTATTTACAAAGGTTAGTTATCTTGGAAAGTACTCCAGTACTGATATTAAGGATTATTTACACAGGTTAGTTATTCTTGGAAAGTACTCCAGTACTGATATTAAGGATTATTTACACAGGTTAGTTATTCCTGGAAAGTACTCCAGTACTGATATTAAGGATTATTTACAGAGGTTAGTTATTCTTGGAAAGTACTCCAGTACTGATATTAAGGATTATTTACAGAGGTTAGTTATTCTTGGAAAGTACTCCAGTACTGATATTAAGGATTATTTACAGAGGTTAGTTTTTGAGGTATTTTAAATTTTTTTTTGTTCAGTTAATTGTTTTATTTCAAACATGACTGTTTGACCAATGATCTGTTTGGATGATAGATTATATATACATATATATCTTATAGTGTTTAGAAATACTTTATTTTATGAACATAACATAATGTTTAGGTACAACAAAAGACCTATCGATTCATCTCAGCTGTTCTATCCTCTAAAGTTTAAACTACAAAAAAATTATTAAATAAATAAATTTTAAAAGAATCCTAAAGCCAGCCCTTAAAATTAATATAGTTATCAGGTTTAGAGGAAAACTACAAAACCTAGCACATGCAGGGGCACAATTAGGGTATGTGGGGCAGCTGGGGCATGTGCCCTATACAATGTATTGTGTTGTGTGAATTTTGGGATTGCATCTTCCAACTACAGCCCAGCATTAAAAAATTAATATAACTCTTAAAATCTGTCAATTTTTTTATGCAAAACAAAATGTAATTTTATTAATTTTTTCCATAAAAATCATGTTTCACATATTTTAACTATCAATAAAATGATATTTTATCTATATCATACATAATCATGTGGTGTTACAGATCTCAAAATGGGCACTTGTGAACTTTTCACATTGAAAATTCCATAATGAGACCACGTAAAGTGTCATGTTCCATACTCAGAAGTGTTAAAAACAACAATCAGTCCTGTCCCATCGTACTTTGAAGGTAGTTCTTTATTAGCTTTAATTTGGGAAAGGAGCACTCTCCAGTACAGCTGGTGACAAACATGCAGAGATGCAGACGTACAGTTATCTGGACATTTAAAAGGTTGCAGCCCAGCATGAATGACCAGGAACATCTTGAGTTTAGCACACTCCTCAACTTGTGTATTTGATGAATCCTGTAAGAACCGAGTTTGGCACTCTCCTCAACTTGTGTTCTTGATGATTCTGTAAGAACTGAGTTTAGGCACTCTTCTTAACTTGTGTACTTGATGATTCCTATAAGAACTGAGTTTAGCACTCTTCTCAACTTGTGTACTTGATGATTCCTGTAAGAACTGAGTTTAGCACTCTCCTCAACTTGTGTACTTGATGATTCCTATAAGAACTGAATGAGTTTAGCACTTTCCTCAACTTGTGTACTTGGTGATTCCTGTAAGAACTGAGTTTAGCACTCTCCTCAACTTGTGTTCTTGATGATTCCTGTAAGAACTGAGTTTAGCACTCTCCTCAACTTGTGTTCTTGATGATTCCTGTAAGAACTGAGTTTAGCACTCTCCTCAACTTGTGTTCTTGATGATTCCTGTAAGAACTGAGTTTAGCACACTCCTCAACTTGTGTATTTGATGAATCCTGTAAGAACTGAGTTTAGCACTCTCCTCAACTTGTGTATTTGATGATTCCTGTAAGAACTGAGTT